TTTTTTTTTGGTTTTTCGAGACAGGGTTTCTCTGTGGTTTTGGAGCCTGTCCTGGAACTAGCTCTTGTAGACCAGGCTGGTCTCGAACTCACAGAGATCCGCCTGCCTCTGCCTCCCAAGTGCTGGGATTAAAGGCGTGCGCTACCACCACCCCATTGCCATCTTTCTGATAGCATTCTTGCAAGCTTTCCTTTAATCTGTGATTTATATTTGTTAATCCCACTGAATGAGAGTAAAGACCATAACCCAAATTCTTTGGTTAAATTAAGCAAGCTATTTTTAGTCACTCAGGGCTATCTCCGTAAAGCAGGATTTGAAAAAACAGCATTGGACATGGGAGAAGGTAGGGTTTATATAGTCCAAAAACTGTACGACTAGGTGGTTTTCAGGGGTTGGAGAATTTCCAGAGGAATTTTAGTTATATAGGCACTTGGCTGGACATTTTAAAGTTGTTTGGCAGAATATTTGATCTTATCAGGATATAGTCACGGGGTGACCAGTCAAACTCCATAGGGTGGGGAGCATGTCAAATTCCAGAAACAGGTTAAAGCACGAGCACCTTGAATTTTGCAGCAAACAGAAATGAACTGTTCTGACCTTATAACAAAATGGCTTCCATCCTTAAGATTGAGTCCGTCTGGTCCATCAATATTTTTACTTCTGGACTTATTACTATTGCTGTGTAGTTGGACATTTCTCTTTCATCCATTTCCAAATGACCACTCAGAGACTGAATATGAACTATAAGTGTTCAGACTTGTTAGCTGCTACCTCTTACACTTAAATTAACCTATATTTCTGTTTATGCTTTGACATGTGGCAGTGCCTTTATTAGCCTGGCACGTTTATCTCTTCCCTTTGTGTCTGGCTGGCGACTCCCTCTCCCTCTGCCCTTCTTCCCACCATCCTTAGTTTGGTCGCTTGGCCTTTACTTCCTACCTGGCTACTGGCCAATCAGCATTTTATTAAATCAATTTGAGTGACAAATCTTTACAGTATACAAGAGGATTATTCCACAGAATTGCTGTGATGAAACACCACGACCAAAGCAACTTAGGGAGGAGAAGGTTTATTTGGCTTATGCTTCCACATCAGAGTTTATCATCAAAGGAAGTCAGGGAAGGAAGTCAAACAGGATGGGAGCCTAGAGGCAGGAGCTGATGCAAAGGCCATGGTAGAGTGCTGTTTACTGGCTTGCTCCCCATTGGCTTGCTCAGCCTGCTTTCTTATAGAACCCAGGACCACCAGCTCTGCGATGGGACCACCCGCAATGGACTGGGCCCTGCCCCTTCAGTCACTATTTATAAAAATGCCTTACAGCTTGATCTTATGGAGGCTTTTTCTCAGTTGATGTGCTCTTTTCTCAGAAGACTTTAACTTTTGTCAAGTTGACACAGAACTATCCAGCACACGCATGTGATTGTGGTGCACACCTTTAATTCCAGCACTCGAGAAGCAGAAGCAGGTGGATCTCTGAGTTCAAGGCCAGCCTTATCTACAAAGTGAGTTCTAGGACAGCAATGACTAAATTTAGAAACTCTATCTTCAAAAACCAAAAAACCAAATCAAAACAAAAAAGCCAGTAACAACCCCCCCCCCAAAAAAAACCCAAATTATCCAGCACAGTGTGTGACTGCCTGTGGGTATGTGCACATGAGTGTAGATGCCCAAGAAGACCAGAAGCGTCAGATCCCCTGGAGCTAGAGTTATAGAAGGGTTGTGAGCTTCCTGACTTGGGTTCTGGGAAGTGAATTGTGGTTCTTCTAGGAGAGCAGCAAGTGAGCTATTTCCAGCTTTCCTTCCAAGCTTCTTATGAAGCAACATTATGACTTAAGGAAGGGCAAAAGGGCTTTACATACATTTGGGGATATGATTCATCTTTAGTTTAATTTTTCACATAGCATGAGCATAGGGCAAGATTTTTGTTTATATGCTTTTACAAGAAAATTTGAAATTGGACACCTAGTTTGTTTCTTCCAAAGGGATGGGATGGCAGTGTTTGTTATGTGAACTTCTTCTGAGAGGTTTTAGTGGCTTAAATATTTGTGAGACATTGCTACAAAATGTGGAGATAAAGTTTCTTGGAGGGAGTGTGGTGGACTATATTTCATGATAGGAGAGTGAACTCTGGAGTAGGTTAGCAGTTACTATATTGTGAACAATGAAATTTAATAGATAATGAGTCATAGTTTTTGAAAAGACAATGTCTGTACCATTGTTTTTCACATGCCAGCTTTTGCCCTTTCTAAGTCCTGAAGGTTTTCCTTTGTTGTGTGTGGAAGGCAGCAGGAAAATGACGGAGGCACCGCCACCCTGGGGTGTGTGCAGGGGTGTGCTGGGGTGTGCTGGGGTGTGCTGGGGTGTGCTGGGGTGTGTGCTGGGGTGTGCTGGGGTGTGCCGGGGTGTGCCGGGGTGTT